CAAGGCTGGGGAACAAAGAACTAAGGAATATCTCCGGGGAGTGCTCAGTGATGCGAGTCACGAGAGAGATACAGCAAGCGCCAAGGGGACGTGTGCGAGAGCAAAGAACCAGTTGGCCACGGGAGGAGTTTGGGGCACAAGACAGATGAGAAATGTCCACAGTTTTTGTTTCTTTTGGGGACAAGCTCAAATGAACCCCAGGTGAGCCTTGAACTTAGGAGGTAGCCAAGGATGACCTTTAACCTCTGATCTTCCTGCTTCCACCTCCCGAGCATGCCAGCTACAAGCATGTATCACCGTGCCTGGTTTACACGGTGCTGGGGATGGGACCCAGGGCCTGGTGCATGCCAGGCAAGTCATCTACCGCCGGAGTCACCTCCCCACCTCTATCTCTTTTTCTAGACAAGGTTAGTTGTAGCATGGGGAAAGGATGGGCATAGAATAGAGCATGGAAAGACACTCTCTCTCTCTCTCTCTCTCTCTCTCTGTGTGTGTGTGTGTGTGTGTGTGTATGTATAGAGAGAGGGAGAGAGGGAGAGAGAGAGAGAGAGAGAGAGAGAGAGAGAGAGTAAAAGCAGGAGACAGGCAGAGAGACACACAGAGAGAAAGGTAACAGGACTGTTAAGGATGAGGGCATTTGGGCTAAGGTGGGTAAAATTCCTGGAGAAGCAGCTATAGGGTACGGGACCGTTGTGGACTGTACAGTTTTCAGTGGTGTGTGGTGGTTATAAGGCACGCACAGTGTATAAATTCACCAAGATGTTGAGTATAGCTGGGCATGGCGATGCATGCCTTTGGGCCCAGGATTCAGGAGGCAGAGGCAGAGGCAGAGGCAGAGGCAGAGGCAGAGGCAGGCATATCTTTGTGAATTTCAGGCTAGCCTGGTCTACACAGAGAGTTCCAGGCCAGCTATGGACTACTACATAGTGAGATCCTGTCTCAAAAAAGGGGGAGAAGCCGAGCCTGCAATGGGCATGTGTGAGGACTGAAGGGCTATAATGGGCTTGAGCGGAGCGTGGGTGAGGCAGAAGTATGAGCAGATACGTGAAGGGCATTTAAAGACAGGGAGCGGAGGGCTGCAGAGACAGCTCAGAGGCGAAGAGCACCGACTGCTCTTCCACGGGTCCTGAGTTCAATTCCCAGCAACCACATGGTGGCTCACAACCATCCATTATGATGGTGCCCTCTTCTGGTGTGCTGATAGACATGGAAGCAGAATGTTGTATACATAATAAGTAAATAAAATCTTCAAAAAAATTTTTTTTAAAAAGAAAGTGAGCTGAGTTCTGAGTGGTGGCTGTAAGAGCCCTAGGAGGGTAGGCTGGAAGTGGGAAGAATGTTTGAGATTCACTGACAAAATATCTGTAAGAGAGAGCCTCTTCCTTCCTTCTCCTTTTTCCTCTTTTCCCTTCCCTTCTCTCTTCCTCCTGTCTCTCCTGCCCTCTCTTCCATTGCTCTGTCTGCTCATCCCTCATACTTTCCATCCATCCAACCATTGGCCTGTCTAAATATGCATTTACCTAATGTATAACAATTCACTATACACTCCCACTTATATTTCCATCCACTCGTGCATCTACCAAGCCTTCAATATTTTTTTTTTTTTTTTGAGACAGGTCTCACTATGTGGCTGGCCTGGAACTCACTACATAGACCAGGCTGGCCTCGAACTCACAGAGATCTGCTTGCCTCTGTCTCCTAAGTGTTGGGATCAAATGCTCATGCCACCATGCTTGGCTATCCTTCGGCCCTTTTTTTTTTTTTTCCACACAGGCATCTATCCATCCATGCGTCTGTCAACCCAGTTTCCACTACTCACCCACGCAGGCAGGCATGCATCCGGTGTATGTTAATCCATCCACTCCCCCACACACCCAGGTGTCCGTGAATCTATCCACTCAACCAACCACTCACTGGGCCATTCTAGGCGCCTCCATCGAGGACCACAGACATTGAAGAAGGTAAGGATTAGAGGATTGTGCTTGAGAAGCTTGAAGGGGGTGAAAGGTGCGTGGCCCTCACTGCACGTTGTTGAAGGGAGGGAAAGAGAGGGGACACAAAGCCCTTACCCAGATGGTGGAGTGGTTGTCCTTGCCCTGTGAGGAGAAAGGACAGAGGGGAGATGCGCTCAGAAGAGGGCAAGACTGGCGTGCCACAAGTGAGGGGGTTGACGGAGGCTCTGTGCTAGGCTCAGGGCAGGAACAGAATCTAAGCTGGCGGAGCCCTCAGAGACGTGGAGAGCACAA